TTTTGATCGTGAGGAATCCAATTTCCCAGTTCAGAACAACACACGCCAACATTGAAGCCAGTTTCAAACTGAGCTGTGGACATCCAGCACTGCATTAAAACCTCATTGTTAATGATCATTCATAATAGCTTGCTGGTGTTTGCTTAGCCTGTGAGATCCTCAGGGTGGCACAATCTAATAGCTGTGCTTATACAGTATCTGCCATGATAAGGAGCCTGTAAAAATAGAAGCCGAAATAACTAGAGTCATTACACACACACATACATATATGCAGTTTATGCAGATATTATTGCCAAAAAATTATCCTCCCATTAAGAGGAGGATTGGATCTCACTGCCCCAAAATGAGAGTTTTACTCTAATCACATAAAAAGAACAACTTCATAAACACAGGAAGAAAGAGAGAAATGATGCTTCCTGTGAGAAGGAAGTCCATTTAAAGCACAAATAAATTGATGCAGTTAGGAGAGGGGAAAGAAAAAAAGCTTGTATATGCAAATAGAGGTTTATTACCCATTTTTGTGCTCCTAAAAAGCATAATTTACTGACCTTTGAGAACTGGGTCAAGTAGGCTGACAGAATAAGAAACAAAGGCATCTCTTTTGGCAACCGCCGTGTTCCAGAGCAGTAATTATCCTTTCCTCTCCCCGTGAGCAGCAGGAAATGCAGAGGGGGGCCATTACCCCATGACAATTACTGTAATTTTAATTTCTAAAAATTGCCAGGAAAGTTTCCTCTAAAATAAAAAAAAAAACCCTCTGTTTGGATATTTGGGGTGGTTTTAGTTTAAAATTCAATCCTCAGATCAATCAGAGCTGTGCTTCCCCTTCTCCACTGCCTTTGGGGAACCACCCACAAAGTCTACATGGTGAGAAAGCCCACTTTCCTCCTCATTAGTTGCCTAAAACATAGACTCATAGAATAGTTTGGTTTGGAAAGGACCTTAAGATCATCCAGTTCCAAGCTCACTGCCATGGGCAGGGACACCTCACACTAGACCATGTCACCCAAGGCTCTGTCCAACCTGGCCTTGAACACTGCCAGGGATGGAGCATTCACAACTTCCTTGGGCAACCTGTGCCAGTGCCTCACCACCCGCACAGTAAAGAACTTCTTCCTTATATCCAACCTGAACTTCCCCTGTTTAAGTGTGAATGAGGATCCAGGAAAGATGGAGGTGGCCCAAAGACATACTGCAGATTCCATAAGGATAAAGAAAATGGGCTGTCACTGCTAGGCATTGGCAGGGATGGATCCTTAGGAGCACTCAGCTTGTCAGCCTACTCTGCTGCTGGGTTTAATACCCGCTGAACTTATTCAGTCACGGGCACAATAACATATTCTTTCTAGAGGAAGCAGAGGATGTTAGATGCATGATAATTAAAAAGAATTGAAAAGGATTCATTTCATCTCCTATGCTCAGAGGGATTACTGGCTATTTTGTGGGGTTTCTGCAGGCTATCCTTTATTATTTTAATATTAAAGGTAATCTGTGCTGTTAAAACATGGTATTTTATTATACCCAACTGTTATGTGAGATGGACTTAGCCCAAGAAGACAGGTCTACGCAGATATCCAACCTTTCCTCCCCTTAACCACACTATCCCAGGCTCTGCATCACTCCTATGTACCTAAAACACCCATCTCCTACCACGGGCTCTGCCTGGAAGGAGGAGTAAGTGGTTTGCACCAAGGTGTGTCTGTGCAGGGGGAGAAGGTGGGATTTGAGGCACATCTGCCCCATACATAAGCAGGAACCAGAGGTGACACATCACCAAACACACCACCGTATTGCTGCAACAGCAGTTCTCATCAATGGAAAGCTGCTTTCCAGGATTCCCCTGTGCACTCCCTTAATGAGACTTCTGAAGTCTTATTTTGGTCACTGGGTGAAGAGTTAAAACTGCTTTCACAGATTCAACGGAAAGGGCTTTTTTTCCCCCCTCTTTTTAATAGTTGCCACAACTCACGTTCCACAATGATCATTTAGCGCAGTAAAAATCTGTGCCTTTCAATAGCTGCACCTATCGAACTACATTGATTTGTCTGCACACAAATACATTCCTACAAGCACATACTTGATTAAGAATTTATATAACTTCAAGCTTCAAGGAATTTTGGATCAATGCCTTTATTTTGCTTTGATACACACACAAACTCAATTAAACAGTACTTACAGCAAACCACAATGGGCAGGAGAATAATTTTCCCAACGCTTCACATTCCAGTTTTTACCTGTTATGTGGGTCTAGGAAATCAATTACTCCCTAAAGAGATATTATTAGTGCTTGTGTTACCAAACATTTTACATTCCCCACCCACCAATGGAAGAACAGAACTATAGGAACATGCCTGTAGAAAACCTGGCATTCTTCAAACCTCTTACCATTTGCTGTAGTATATATTAATGAATATCTATATATTTATATTATTATATATAAATATATTACATATAAATAAAAGAAAGCCCTGCATGGTGCAGACTGGATCTGCACCACATCCAAAAGTTCACTACTCAGTCTCACAAGACCCATAAATCAAGTCCACTGAACATATGTAGCATTTTACATCACTGGATAGGGTAATGCAAATGTAATATATAGCGTGTTAACACCTTAACACACGCACTCAGTGGTCACGTTAGAGTTGCTGAGGGAGCTATAATTTTGCATGTCCTGACCAATCTGTAGCTGGATAGATGCTAAGTGAAAACCAATCACAGCACTGCATTCCCTTCAGCAGCTTTTATACAGTCTCTCCTTTTACACTTGAAGGAAGAAGACGTGTGAAGCTGCAAACACACAGGAAGGCTGAAACAGATGTGGATTAACTTTCATCCTTTCCAAGCAGTGTGGATGAAACCTCATGCGTTCCCAGCCCAAGCATGTGTCATTGCATGAAAAGCATGTGCTCTTGGGTGTGATCAAGCCTATTTCTGAGTCATAAGCATCTCAGCAAGGCATACTACAACCACCCCTTCTTTTACATAATGCACTGAGGCCAACCACCAGCACTCACTGGCGACTGACAGCTGCAAGGAGAAACAACGTGCAGCTGATCCAGTTTAACAAGAGTTTTTGCTGGTGCTGCCTGACCTACACAAAATTCCTACTGCTGCAGTCTCCTAATGCCTGGATTCTTACCCTTTTTAAGGCAAAAGGGTTTGTCCCTCTCCCATTCTTCCTCCTTCCAAGTCCACCATTACTTGCCTTCAAGATTCAACTATTTTTGTCCAACAGCTTGGTTTCCCCCCCTCTTAAAACCCTGATCACTTCCAGAGAAGGTTGTTTTCGCAATCATCAACCATTTTCAACATACCAAAATAGTTAATTGCATCCAGGCTTACTCCAGGTGCAGGGATGCACAACAGCTATGCATCCTATTTGCATTGATTAATGGCCATCAGTATCCCACATCATATGGAACAGCCACAGCCATGCAACCATGTGGTATACTCCAAGCAAGACCAGAGATGTTCTCATCTCTGCAATCTACTCCACCAATAGCAGTCTAACAAAGTTGGTTAAAAGCACAAGAAGTGATGCAATATAGACAGCAAAAAACCCAAATCACCACTAATCACACAAAATAAACCCCCTTAGCTCTGAGCTACCAATAACTGTTTGATGTCCAGTGGATTTGACCACCATTCAAGACCATGTTATATGTAACCATGCACAATACCCATGTTGATCACCAGCTGGTGGGCAAAACTAAGCTGGAACATTTCTATACATGCAAAGTCAGATAACAACATCTGTGAGCAATCACTCCAGAGATACTGGTAGGAACTCCAACTTAAGGGTAAAGGAATATATTAGCCCTTTGGCACACAAAGGCCTTTCTTTCAGTGGCACTACCACCTAAAACCAACTATATGACAAGAAGGTCTAATGCGGAATTGTAACTGCTTGAAACCTATTGCAAAGCTTTGGTCCATTGACTTGCCCTAATGGAAGGGTCTTCAGTGGCATCATTCCACCCTCCTTTACAGAGAAACATTAATGTTACAGAGAACAACAATCTCTTATGTGCACATAAAGGTGGAAAGAGAAAGACAGGTAACACAAGGTAGGAAATAAAAACGGATTAGAAAGGCAGAAAATCTGCTGACTGCCCCTCAAAAGACAAGAATATCAAGTATATGAGAAATCATCCCTGAAATTAGGCAGAGTTCCACTCATACTGCAGCTAAGCGATCTCATGGCATCAAAGCTGTTACAGAAATCTGTGGGGATTTCTTATACACACAAATATTATATATATATATATAGTATTTTGCATTACCAGTTGTCTAAGACTCCACACATATGCATATATATGCATATATCTTTAAACTCTTAATCATATGTGGAAAGGCAGACATACATTTGATTGTATTTTATATACACTACACACACACATGTACATATGAACCTATATGCACAACACTATAGAGTATACACTCTGATTATACATAGTATTTATTCATTGACAGAGGTCCTAATATGGGTGAACAGAGAAAAAAACATCTATTTTTATATGTATTTAATAGTTAATCAAAGTGTAATATAGCCAAACGACAAAGAATAAATGATATAAATCTATATAGAATAGATGACCCCTTTAAAAACTGAGAACAGAGGCTTGATAAAACCTCCTCTCACTTCCTTCTACCTTCCTTGCTCTTGGGGGATGATTTCACTTGGCCCAGATCCCAGGCCAAGGAGGTACAGGACTGCTCTTATGTATTTCAGAGTATTCAAAACTCCCATCAAGAATGGAAAAACAGCCCCAAGAGAACAGAAAATAATTATGGAGGGCTCATATATGCTTTTTTTTCCCTAGGTCCTGTATCTTCTACCTCCAAAAATGGAAAACCACTGTTTGAAAACCACCTCACTGGCTTCAGTGTAGGTACTGGCGGAGCTCCATGTTCTTCAGCATCATTAGTGGGGTTAGAAAACAGCCTGGTTTTAGCAACGCACTCACTGTCAAACATAGACATGCAGAGGAACTTACCTGTTTGGTGCTTCTCTGCCCAGTAGGAAGCAAAGCTTTGGATTTCTCTGCTATTTTCTGTAAAAATGGGAAAAAAAAAAAAAAAAAGAGGAAAAAGGGCTAAGAAAAGAGTCCTAATATTTAGGGAAGAAATTACAGATTCATAGAATAGTTAGTGTTGGAAAGGACCTTAAGATCATCCAATTCCAACCCCCTTGCCATGGGCAGGGAACCTCACACTAAACCATGTCACCCAAGGCTCTGTCCAACCTGGCCTTGAACACTGCCAGGAATGGAGCATTCACAACTTCCTTGGGCAATCCACTGCAGTGCCTCACCACCCACACAGTAAAGAACTTCTGCCTTAGATCCAATCTGAACTTCCCCTGTTTAAGTTCTTACCCGTTACACCGTGTCCTATCACTACAGTCCCTCATGAAGAGTCCCTCCCCAGCATTTTTATAGCCCCCTTCAGATACTGGAAGGCTGCTATGAAATCTCCATGCAGCCTTCTCTTCTCCAGGCTGAACAGCCCCAACTTTCTCAGCCTGAAATCATATGAAGCTATTTCTTCTCCTTCTTAAAGGACAGGACATAGAGAAAACTCTTCCTATTCAGAAAGGGAGCACAATTGCACTGAAAAGTTTGGTCTTGCAGGAATTCAAAGTGTTCAAAGCTTCCAGCATGACAAGGTTATCCAAACTGAAACCTGCATTTAAGAAATGACAGCTAGGACAGGGATAAGTATTAATTTCCCACTCAGATTGGTTTCCTGACGTAACCGGGCACTGACAAACTGCAGCGGCTAATTTTGGCACTTGTGAATTGATGACAGTGTTTAGAAAGAGACCCCCCATCACCTCCATGTGCAGCCGAGATGGATTTCACTCTTTAGTATGAAATGAAAGCATCATAAATGTATGTGTATATGGAGGTGGAGCCCTTTACCTGAATCCTTCCAACTCCTCATTTAAGGGATGAAGTTATTTCATTTCAAGACCTCACTCTTAGCATTCTGAATAGGACAGAGCAATAATTAACAATACCAGATAGTACCAGAGATAATGCAATGCTATTACATGATGTCCATGCTGTTGAAGTGCAATTTTCTGTGCTTTTATTGAGTTATTTATTTATTTCAACACCACAGGCAGCAAGTTTGGGAAAATCAATCAGTACAGAGTGTTTCTAATAGAGATGCATTGTTAAGTGCACGATGCCAGCCTAATTTCGTTACACCTATTATAATTACAATGTTCTTCCTATGTGTTGCAGCCATGGGTCAAACTCACTAAAGCAGTATAAGAAAGCAACCAGAGTTTGTTCAGCTTGTGATTTCATTAATCCATATATCTATAACTTGTTACTGCAAGGGGGAGAAGCAGTTTGAGGATGCTAGATTGAAATCGCTACTACACTGTTTAAAAGCAAAGCAAATCTGCTCATCAGCAGAGGCTCCCGAGGGAAAAGTGGGAGAGCAAGAACCAAACGAAGGAGCTGGAATTCAGGTTCTGTTTGTTTTATTAAACAGCTTGATCTTGGTGACGGGTTCAAACCACAAAATGCCTTCTGAAATCTTCTGGCAAAGCTGTGGAACATAGCAGAGCCAGAAGGTGCATTAGCTCTTAGAATAGCAATGTTGCCTGCACATTTTCTATGAGCAGAGAAGGGGAAAGGGGCACTGTACAAGCATTTATCCTTCTCCTTCTGTCCTGGGTTCAGCAGTAGCAGTCATTTTTCTCCTTCTTAGTAGCTGGTGCAGTGCTGTGTTTTGACTTTCAGCATGGGAACAGCGCTGATAACACCGATGGTTTTAGTGGCTGCTCAGTGATGTTTAGTCTGACCAAGGACTTTGTGAGTCCCATGCTCTGCCAGGGAGGAGGGGAAGCTGGGAGGAAGCAGAAACAGGACACCTGACCCAAACTGACCAAAGAGGTATTTCATACCACAGCACATCATGCCAGGATGTAGAACTGGGGGCAGTTACCCAGAAGGGCGAGATCACTGCTCGGTAGGGCTGGGTATTGGTCAGCGCGTGGCGAGTGGTTGTACTCTCTTCCCTTGTTATTTCCCTTATCATTATTATTATTGGTGGTAGGAGCAGTGATTTGTGTTATACCTTAGTTACTGGACTGTTCTGATCTCAACAGAATGTAGTGGGAGCTACATTCTTTCCATTCTCCTTCCCATCCCTCCGGGAGCGGGGGAAAGAAGGGTGCGGAGCGGTGTAGACTGTGTGGCTGACTTGCCGACAGGGTTTAAACCACGACACTCTGGAAGTGGAGACGCACCAAAACAATGTCAGAGCTAAGCCAGAGGAACCATTGAAGATTCTACCAGACATAGAGCTGCCAAAAGCACATTGATGCTGAATTGCTCTGTGTGTGCATATTGCAATGCAACAATATTTTGCTTGACTGATAAACTAAGAACAAAGGGAGGAAACTACATGTGAGCACCTCTTTGGATATGCTCCACACTCACCATGCTCGCTCACACTTAGAATCATCGAATCATAGAATAGTTAGGGCTGGAAAGGACCTCACCACCCTCACCATAAAGAACTTCTTCCTTATATCCAATCTAAACTTCCCCTCAGTTTGAGCCCATCACTCCTTGTCCTATCACTGCAGTCCCTAATGAAGAGTCCCTCCCCAGCATCCTTGTAGCCCCCTTTAGACACTGGAAGGCAGCCATGAGGTTCCACACAGCTTCTCTTCTCCAGGCTGAACAGCCCCAACTTCCTCAGCCTGTCTCCATACAGGAGGTGCTCCAGCCCCTGATCATCCTCGTGGCCTCCTCTGGACTTGTTCCAACAGTTCCATGTCCTTTTTATGTTGAGGACACCAGAACTGCACACAATGCTCCAGGTGAGGTCTCACAAGAGCAGAGTAAAGGGGCAGGATCACCTCCTTGGACCTGCTGGTCACGCTCCTTTTGATGTAGCCCAGGATACGGTTGGCTTTCTGGGCTGCAAGCGCACACTGAAGCCGGCTCATGTTCATTTTCTCATCAACCAACACCCCCAAGTCCTTCTCCACAGGGCTGCTCTGAATCTCTTCTCTGCCCAACCTGTAGCTGTGCCTGTAGCTGTAACTTAGCATGTTCCCAAACTCAAATACAGAACAGTGGAGACATCCTTACCTTCTGCACAACTCCATATCTCTGGATGGCATCTGACAGCTGGTTCTTCAGCCTGTCCAGCTGAAGTTGTTCTTGCTGTTAGGAGAAAACAGAAGCTTGGTTAGCAGGTCTGTAGAGATCTATCACGTAGAAGACTGTCTGTGACCATGGGAAAGAGTCCAGGATGCTGCAAGGTTTTCTTTTAGGAAAGGAGCACAGGATGTGTTGGATATTCAAGACAGCACCCAAGTCATGACTTCTGTGTGGTCCTGATATCTGAACTGAACACCTTCTGTGCCAAAGACAGACAGTGGGACATTTTGCTGTCCTGCTTGTTGTATAAGGGAGTACCACTCCAATTACAAGTTCTTAAGGACTGTGAAACAAAAGTGAATACCCTACTGCCATCAAAAGAACAGAATGGTTATAGCATGGTATCCTGCTTCTACTTACTAGAATCCAGCCTCGGATTATCTTCAGGAGATGATAACCCAAACAATACTCCTATAAAAACTCCTTCAGTTGGATGACAGCCCATAGTATCATAGAATCATAGAATGGTTTGGGTTGGAAAGGACCTTAAGGTCATCCAGTTCCAACCCCCTGCCATGGGCAGGGACACCTCACACTAGACCATCTTACCCAAGGCTCTGTCCAACCTGGCCTTGAACACTGACAGGGATGGAGAATTTACCACTTCCTTGGGCACCCTGTGCCAGTGCCTCAGCACCCTCACAGTAAAGAACTTCTTCCTTATCTCCACCCTGAACTTCCCCTGTTTCATTGTGAATCCATCACCCCTTGTCCTATCGCTACAGTCCCTGATGAAGACCATGAGGGAGTTCATCACCTCATTTGATGGCAACGGGTGATTTACTGAAATTGAGAGGTCCATCAGCCATGACAACATTCCTTCTGCCTTGCCTTGTGCCTGATTGTCAGAAATCACCTTATTTCTGTGTTTTCCAAAACAAGTCTTTGTGCCTGGAGCTTGTCCCAGCAGAATACAGATCTACGCTTTAAACACAAGGAATACCCCAGTCTAGACTGATGCAACTGTCCAATATGCTGCAGAATCACTGCTCTCCAATGGAGTGACCAAATCCAAACGGTGCTGGGCAATTGGAACTCTCCTAGAATTATTCTATCCTATTCAACCCTATTCTACACTCCTGGAACTATTTCAGGTGTGCAGGAGCTCATGTGTCCAAGTCTTACACAGCAGAATGAGGAAGTGAGGCACCACCTTAAAAACCAAGTAGCAAACAAACCCAAATCTACTCTAAAGCTACTAAGCAGAAATGTTCACTTTACATTTAAGCAGTTTCAGACAACTGCTTAAGGATACAAAAGTAAATGTTATAAAGGATGGGATAAACATCCTTAATATTTAATGGTGATATTTCCATACACAGACGGATATCCCAGTCTTCAGTTCTTCATCCAAAGATTTAAAACTGATTTTAGAACAAGTATCATCATCCCCATTCTACAGATAAAGGTCTATAAAGCTTATGTTTGTTACACATGGAACCTAAGGTAGGATTGACACCTTGGAGAGCTGATCTAATGGTCCAGCACTTATCCTACAAAACCCAGGAATTCCAGGTAGGCCTTTTATTTAACTCCTTTGAAGTTAGTTTGAAAGAAGCCCTAAAAGAGGCATGTGCTACTTCACACCAGCCTCCTGCCTTGTATCACAGTGATCCACTTACACCAGTATCTTTACTCCTGAAATACTATCAATTTGCTCAGTTAGGCATCCTGCCTCAAATATCTCCAGCAGTATTTGGAGCTTCAAGGGAAGTCAAGGCAATTCCCACCATGCACCTTCTTTGCAGTGCATTCCTGGTGGAAAATAAGGAGAAAAGAAAAAAGAACCATTCTTTGTCCATGTGTCTAAGCAAAGGAATACACAGAGAAACGGATTGGAAACAAATGACTACAAAGCTCTAAATTAGAATCATAGAAACATAGAATGGTTTGGGTTGGAAAGGACCCTGAGCTCATCCAGTTCCAACCCCCTGCCATGGGCAAGGGTCCCTCACATTAGACCATGTCACCCAAAGGTCTGTCCAACCTGGCCTTGAACACTGCCAGGGATGGAGCATCCACCACTTATTTGGGCACCCTGTTCCAGTGCCTCAGCACCCTCACAGTAGAGAACTACTTCCTTATATCTAACCTGAACTTCCCCTGTTTCACTTTGAACCCGTCACCCCTTGCCCTATCACAACAGTCCCTGATGAAGAGAATTAATTAATGGAAGGCTTTTCACGGTATGAGAAATTTGATGGGAGGAAAGCTGCAATGGTACCCAGGTCCCCAACAGGGACTCAGAGCCCAGCAGCCAATCCCCACCAGAACTACTTATTCTATGTAAGAGATGAGGGCTACAGGCTTTGTACCAGAATTTGAAGGTTTAATTACTTAAACAGCACAGAAAATAGGAGTTTAAGAAATAAAACGCGTTAAATTAATTGGCCAGGGAGAAGAAAAAGTTATTACGTGATGGCAACAGAGCGGCAAGTTTATCCCTCATGTTCCTAAAGTTGTTTGTGTGTCTATTTCCTTCAGCTCTTAAATAGCCTGCCTTTAACTTAGCCATTTTTCTCCTCATGACAATAAAAGCTGTTCTCCTGAGCATTTCCATGTGTTTCATGGGTAAATAATGACATTCTTGCATGGCACTATAATTGGGTTTAATGTAACCTTGCTTAATTCCCCTTTGGACCCAATTTATGTCACAAAACGGAGCCAGGTGAGCAGCACAAAAAAGTCCCAATCCTCCTATCTCTAAGAAAGCATTTTCTGTTTTACCAAGCTCTGGTGAAATAATTCTCAGGATATGCAAAAACAAGTCCTTATAGTCCATCACTCATCCAGCAACATGTTAAAAATGGTCCAAGTATTAAGGCTGATGCCTGCACAAGGTTGATGTCTACATTTGGAGAACAGTCATTCCGCGGTTCCATCTCCATCCATCACCCATTCATTTCTTTAGGCAGGCTGAATTGCACATGGACCTTTACAGGTTACAAAGGTAGCCTGGGGTGAGCCAGCTCTTCAGTCCTTATCCCATATGCATCTTGGCAAGGGCCATAAATCCAAACTACAAAAACTCACTTGGATGGAGAAAAGCAGTGTTTTACGAGCAGTGTCCTTTCTCATTGGAAGGGCCATGAGAACAGAGCTGAAGTAACACAAGACTTTGGGAAATGGCAGGAAGCATGTGAGGATAAAACATCAATTCAATTCCCAACACAGAAACTACACAAGCAAGAACGTAAGAGAAAACTGCTAGGGCAAATCAAGTAGAAAAGAATTATCCTTGTTCTCATTTCAGTTGCTAAATAACCCACCACAAGGGTGAAACTTCTCAACTCACACACCAGCTGGAGTTTGCCCCAGGGTATGTTTCTGTTCTTCCCCATGATCCATATCACAGGACAAAGTCAGCGGGAACACACACCTTTATACAGCTCTTTACACAAGAAGGTCAGAAGCCTTCTGTTTGTCCAGTCATTGCATTGGGGACCATGGGATGGGAATCATTCATACCCCAGCGGCAATGATGTTCATATGAGTTGAACCTACTGATGGCAGAAGAACATTCTGCCTGCACAGTATGTATGGGTTGCTGTGGGGCAAGTTGTAATCCAGTGTTCTGCTCTGATCTGGTCACAGCCTTTAATTATCTACACCTATCACTGCCTTTGCACTAGCATAGAACACTGAATGAATGCCATATCTAGACATATTCCACTGCTTTGGTCTTTCTGGACACTTCAACACAATTTCAAACTCATCTGAACCCAGTGCACTCACTACACAACTGACAAGCTCATGTTGAGCCGGATGATTTCCGTAGTACTTTGACCCAAACTGAGTGAGACCCTGAGATGGATGGGAGTTAAGTCAAGGCTTTGTCGCCGAGTTCTTTATTTCCCATTCCACATAACCCAGTTTGGGGAGAAGAACTGGTTTCTGCAGCTGTTTTCCCATTGGTCATTTATAAATGTAAGATATGCTTATTGTGTAACAGAAAAGGAAGTTATAACAAGACACAGAATCATAGATTAGTTTGGATTGGAAAGGACTTTAAGATCATCCAGTTCTAACCCCCTGCCATGGGCAGGGACATCACACACTAAACCACACACATGGAGCTCAGCTTTAAAGCACCCACTACCTCCCACTAATACTTCTTTCTTCATTAATCCTCCCTCCATAAGACCCAGCATTCTCCCCCAACAGCCTCCTGAATGACACATACCCTGGATGAGCCTCTGACAACCTCAGACAGCTGCTTGATGGCTTTGGTGCTAGTCGTGATGGTTTTATTAGTCTCCTGCTGGGTTGCATGCCTGCAGGAGAGAAGAGATGATGGGAAATGCAATTGAGATTAATTGCATAATGAGACACTCACAGAACTGTATCACGCTGCAGAGCAATTGAAACAACACAACACAGAGCACATGGAGCCACACTGGGACTACACGAGCCCAGGACCAGCAATGGCAGCCAGAAGGGTGTAGGAAGCACCAACATGGGGCTGCCCAAAATGTTCTTACCCTGATAACCACAAAGACAATAGCTAAACAGTCAATGGGGAATGATAAGGTGAAAATCAGGGGTGGGCAGGTAACAAAGACATCACAGATGGATGGCATCGCAACTAATACCGTTGAGTACCAACCACACGGGACTGAAGAGTTACCTGAGGGATCGCTCAGGAAAAAGTTGTACTCAGCATTTGAAGAGGCAGAAATTGCACAGGACAAATTTACTTACCGTGATCATCTACCTGCTAATAACATGGTATCTCCAGGAAAGCACTGTGAACGTGAAGTATTGCTTTATGAGCACTGGAACAGGCAGGCAGGGAGCCAAACCAGTCCCCTCTCCAGTCATGTTTATCCCTCTCCTTTCACCCCAAATGCCACTGCCGTTATTTCTTGCAAGCACTGTTTGCTGGCTGTGTTTTTCTGGACTATACAAAGGAGGGGGAAGAGATATAAATGGTACCCAAAAATATTTATTAGCTCAATCCAGTCGTTCTCAAGCTTTATAAGGCCAACAGGGCATTTTCAGCCTCTCCGTTTCCCCAGGGAGCACTTCACATCCTTTAGTCAGAAAGGGGTGGTTTTCCATAATGCTTTGGTCAAAAACTATGCAAAGACTCAAGTAAGACCTGGGGAAAATGACCTTTTTCTCCCTCAGAGGCCACATTTGAGCCATGGTTATATTGCAAAGACTCGTTTGTCAGTGCTCCTTTATCAGGGTGGGTGGGATGAGGAGTGAATCAGAGTTCTTTGATTAAAAGTGTTAAAATGACTACTTACGGCCCCTCTGACTGGAAGATCCATGCCCTGTCCTGGCTTTCCAGCTCCTTCCTGCTTCTCTTTCAGTACTGATCAACACCAGCTCTTCCAAGGCTTATGTCAACCTTTTTAGCATCTCCTTTGAGGAACAAGGCCAGCCCCCAAATAAGTCTTTACCAAGCACAACCTTAACCACAAATACACTGAGACCCCCTCGACAAGCATTCCACTGACTGTCATTTACATCTAGTCAGGGAAGATGGACACAAGCACCAACAAACTGGAATATTCACCCCCATAGCCAGTTCTGGCAGGGTTTTCTTCACTTAAGTGAGACCTCTGTGCAGACAGCTCAGATGGAAAAGCTGCCTAGGATGAAAATACACTTAATTTTATGCATTGTACCTATCAGGTATACAAGTGAAAGCTTAGTGTAGCATGAAGATAACATCGCTAAGCTGTAGAACAGTAATTCAGATGTACCCTAAGGGTTGAACGAACACACAGGAGGCATGGACTCCTTTGGCACCATACAGAGAAATCATCTCATATGAAGACAAGACTGGATCCTATAACTAGTTATTCTCAGCTCTGCCTAAGTTAAATTAAGATACCATTTCTGTGCTCATCCATCAAAATGCATTTCATTTATTTATGATCCCAGGACCCACTGCACCAGCTGACTATTTACATCACTTCTCATTTGAGGTGGAAGAGGTTGTATCTACCAGAGTCATCACAAGAATGGGAGCTGGGATCTGAATGCTGTCACATCACCTGCCTTGAGGAGCTAGCCTGATCCCTAATCTTTAATTCAACTGAATCTTGCCACCAAGTGCATCAATTCCATAAGCAGCAGTTTCAAAATGGAGACATCCACAACTAATTCTCTTAATGAAATGCAAGACACTGGAGTTGACGTCCAGTCACTTTGCAGACCTCATTAAATCATCTGCCCACAGAACAAGTCAGGCATTCACAGACCAGCAATTCCCCATCCCCAAAGTCAAATGGTTTGCTAATCTCACGCATCTGAGCCTTCCCAATCTCCAAAGTTCAATAAAGGCTCCTTCGTTTGCATTCAAATGCAAGTTTTATGTGAGATATCTTACCCAATAAATCCACGCTGTGCACAAACTCTGCACTGAGATGCTGCACAATACCTGGGAGAAGGAGTGCAAGGAACAAAAAGTGCTGCCTTCAATTCAAAATGCACTTTAATCAACATTCTGGTGCCTGCTTTTGGCACTTCCCGCTATGTTGTCAGCACAATTAACTTCTTATTCTTCAGCCTCAGAGATATGCTCAGGAATCAGACAGTGATTATATTTAATTTACATTAAATGCTATTAAGATCTTCATTAAAAAGCAGCCTTGAAACTCCACTCTCCGCAGCACTGTATTTTAATATGTAATGCTAACAAGATATTTCATTGTTGTTATTATTATTATTATTATTATTATTGCCTTTATATTCCTCACCCCATGGAAGTGTGAAAGTTAATTAAAGGGGTGTCTCTGATGAATATAATTTGGTTCTGAAAAAGCCCTCCATACTTTAACAAATACTCAGTCCGTGGAGACACCAAGTACCTAAAATACACAGACTACAACGCTACTCTGAAAAGAAGCATTCTAAGGGTACAACCAAAAAGGGCATCTCCTAGGAAGAATAACATCCCTTGCTGTGCAGTGCTGCATGCGCAGAGATTGCAAAGACAATGCACTAAATAATACAAGAGGTACCACACTGCTGCCTAAGAGTTTCCTATGGCGGGTGTTTTCTTTGCCAGGGAAGCACGGTCCATCGCATCCATAATCCCCAGCACACAGCTGCTTAGAGTTTGTTCTTCTGAGCCATCATAGCTCTAATTTATTTATCCAGTTCTCAAACGAGCACAGCAAAGAAGCAGATGCGATGACGCCTGCTTCCCTCCTCCGCAGGGACGCAATGAAGGAGCTTAACTACTGTTTGCACCGCTTCTTTGAGACACTTGATGAATGACCAAATCAACACAAAATAATCACAACCCAAATGCTACGGCAAAGACCGACAAGGGAAAGGCTCCTCTCTGTCTCCCTGTGCCTGCTGCCAGTCACCATAATCCCAAAGAGCTTTGTTTCCTACTTCTAGCAGGAAAAGGCATTTGCATCTGTAATACAGGATGTGGCTTATTTTGCTTATCCCTAATAAGTTTTTTCAGGTACAGATCAAAAATACCTTTACTGTACTGGCTTAAACATCATTTGATTTAATATCTCCTTCAGCACAGTGCAACTGCATAGCAATGGAATTTTGTTCATTTAAGAGCCTGATGGTCAAGCAGGCTTGGCCACAGTTAAGCCATGTGGCTCAGCATAAATTAAACTGTACTTGTCCTCTTCACAGCTGCTGCAACACTAACTGCAGCTTTCCTGTACAAAAAGAGGTACAAACTGTAGTATGAGGAGTAAAGCAGTGAGCTGCATGACCTGTGCCTTAAGCAGAAACAGTCTGAGTATCTGTATTTACATACATGCCATTGCTGTTGGAGAGATAAATAGGTGAGGTGCATTAAGCATGCAAATGGAATTGTTCACAGCAATCTCTTCCCTATCTCAAAGCTGGATTTTGTGAAGGACTAATGATGTCTGTGGGAACTGATGACAGGCCTCAGAAAAGTAGAAGTACGTGTATATAAAACTTCATGCATTGGCTACAGGGACAGGTATGGAGCAGCAAGGGGTATGCAGCTCCTGAGCCTCCTATTCCCTTTTCTCCACATCATCAAGGTGCTTAACTTCAGAGCAGAGCCAACAGAGGTCCTTCAGCATCTATAGAGAGGAGAACCTCCAAAGGTGCTGCAGAGATGTCCCCCCTTCAGCAGTAACCCATCACTTTTGGGTGTCTCTTACACAACCAGGATATTCCTACAGCAAAGTTAAAGATATTTCCAGAAACGGATGATCCAGGCTGGTGTTTTCTACAGTTGCATTAGGAAACATTTATCTATAGGATGGATACGCCTCATTAGACCACTATAACTTACTGCCCATAAACAGCCCTACACCTCATCTTCTAAGGCTGCTGGCTCTGCTTCTGCATGATGAAGACAGTGAGCATTTCTGACCTATAAGTAATTATTGCAGATGCAAACAAAGCAGAAAGATGAGCTAGAAGAAAAGGTTATTTCACCAAGCCCTAAAGCATCTTTATAGCTAGTCACCAAAGAAAGACTACAGCTGCTTGTCCTGGCTCCAAACTGAAACTCACAATGCAGTTTTCCCCCCCCCCTTCTTTTTAGGACCTGATTGTGCACGTCGAGGAATTGTTTCCAACAGTGAAAGAAGAGCTCTAATTCTGACCTGTCAGCAAACCCCTTTGCATAGGTGTAAATCATGCAGGGGAGTAAAAGTCAGGAGAAAACCAGGCAGCTATTTCCAAGTTTCCAGCCACACAATATTCTATAATAAAAGCATCATAGATTTCCAATTTGCCTGTCACTGGAAAGCATTAGGAGATGTGGTGCTATTTTTCTTTAAGGAGCCCAGGGGATGCTCTGAGGCTGTGCGGGAAGAGAAGGGGAGGTATTTCGAGTCCACCTGGCGTGGGTGCTGTGTCATCTTGAGAGATGAACATGGCTATAGGCTAATAGCTGTGTAGTTCAGCCGTTCGGGATTAAAACATATGAATTGTAGTCAAATAGCAGCCCTCACAAATCTTGTCACACAAATGCAAGCCCCGGCATATTTTTTCGTGGTATTTTCTATACCTATTAAGCACCTTCTCTTTGCTATAAAAGATCAAAAAATGAAGAGGAAGAAGATATAAGCAGGAAGTTCTTTACTGTGAGGGTGCTGAGGCAGTGGCATAGGGTGCACAGAGAAGTGGTGAATGCTCCATCCCTGGCAGCATTCAAGGCCAGGTTGGACAGAGCCTTGGGTGACATGGTCTAGTGTGAGGTGTCTCTGTCCATGGCAGTGGCTTGGAACTGGATGATATTAAGGGTTTTTCCAACCCAAACCATTCTGTGATTCTATCATTCTATTGCTAAAACAAGGAG